AGTTTACTCAGCATGGCAATTTGAAAGCCCTTCAGAAAATTCAGTTATGTTTATGAATCTCAGAATTTATTCTGATAAGAAATTTTGTCTCTGTTTATAGAGGGACCTAGATGCAGATTATCAGTGCTTTTAAAATGTACTTGGGTCAGTTACCTTTTCATACACCTGCATATGAGGGCATTGGCCAAACACATTTTCCATGCTCCACATACTATGGGAATAAGTTACACATTCACAGAAAGAAAAATTCAGGTAAGCAAAAAAACTGAAGTGGTGAAATGACTGGAAAGCATTTTCAGGAAATGCCTCCTGGTTACAGAGCCTTTGCTGCAGTGGTTTGTCCATGTAAGAATTAGTAAGGATGAGAACAATGTTCAGGACATGCCTGAACGTTGAAGTGAGACCTTTTTTTTTTTTCATTTATATGACAGACATAGCTCCTAATGAGTGAATTATGTATCTCTGCAGAGAAATATAATGGTATACAAATTCAGAGCAGAAAGAAATACTGTAAGGCCACCTCTCCCAACTTTCTACTAATGCAAGCATCTTTCCTAAATCTCATTTGATTTGGTGCTGCCCAGATTAAATTTTAAGCATAGGAAGCACCAGCCACATTTTTCTTGAGGGACTGTTCTTGATAGACTGTACTGCTCCCGCCATGAGACCTTAGTCAACATATTCTGTATATGTAGCTTCTCAAAGCAAAGTCATTCACTTTAGGAGTCAAAACCCGGTCCTAGCAACAATTTAGTATGTTGCTTCCTACATGTATAAATCCAGAAAATTTTGAGACACAAGTCCTTAAAGTAGGGATGTCCATTAAGGACTTAAGAGAACTGCTTGCAGGAGTCATTGCTGACATACTCTGACATTAGCTGTTGAAAAAATGGGAACCGAGAATGAAGAGCTGAGATTATAGAACTGCAGAGCTCTCCAGAAACTGTTGACAATGTCTTGGTAAATTCCTCCTCATTCTCATGGCATAAATGTTAAAAAAGAAATTTTTATTAATATCTGACAACTTTTCTCAAAAATGCTACTCTGCTACCAGTTTTGCCCCAAGCTATTGACTCATAGTGATGGGTTGATTTCCAGAGATGCTGAGCACATGCAGCTTTCCAGCAGAGTTCAGGTAGGCAATAAGGCTCAATATTTCTCAAACACAAATTGCTTACTAATAAGCTGTTGCCAAGGAAATCCTCCCCAAGCATTTGGTCAAAGAAAATATATAATGCATTCTCTGTACAGTTCTCCTTCGAGACAGTTACTCCATGATAAAGGGTGTAAAAAGACATGAGCGAGAAAATTCCTAGATATAGGCACACAAAATAGGCAATAAACTCTAAACAGAAAATTCTATGGAAATTTTCAATATGTGGAAATCATGATATGTGATTGCCGTTACTTTTTGTGCACTATGTACACATTGGCAGAGAAGAGGGAGATGAGCCAGGTGCAATGGCTCACATTCAGAACAGACCAGCAGAGGCTGAATACAGTCTCTATCTGTTTACTTTTAAGCAGTAAGAAGGTATCATTAGGAAGGAAGCTTTGATTGAACTGACTTCTTAGCTTATTATCAAGTAACTTTAATAAGGACAGGTTTGTGCTTCCATAAAAGTTCTGGAGAACAACTATGAGACAATAGCCTTGACATAGCAAAAGTAAATGGTTTCCTTATTTTACTGTAATTCAGGCTGGTTCCCAAGGAACCATTGCATGTGATGGGCCCTGCTCTCCCAGAGATGGCTGAACACCTCCTGCCCATGGGAATAGGTGAATTAATTCCTTGTTTTGCTTTGCTTGTGTGTGCAGCTTTTGCTTACTCTATTAAACTGTCTTTATCTCACCCCATGAGTTTAGCTAACTTTTACCCTTCCAATTCTCTCCCCCATCCCATTGGTGGGAGAGTGTGTGAGCAGCTGCGTGGGGCTTGGCTGCTGGCTGGGGTTAAACCACGACACAGCCTTAATAATAGTAACTATTGTTGTTGTTGTTGTAGTTGTTGTTGTTATTTATTTTCATTAATAAAATCCCACTGAAACCAATGAGATTCTGCACAGAACAACATGTCCTGCCTGAGTGGACTCCAAGACATACAGCATTAAAATGGGTATCTTCAATAGATAGAACTTAAGAACCTGCCTTTGTAAAAATTATTTGCAATTTGAGGCATCTTTCTTGCATCTCTTGATGCATGATTTTCAGGAAAAAAGGAGGGAGATTTTCAGCACATTATGAAAACTAGCAGTTTCTGAGTAACTTCAGAATTATAATAGTCAATCTTTTGATAGTTACAATCAAAAGGCTACTTGGTTCCATTTTGGAGTCTTTTTTTAAGTAAAATACTGTTACAAGTTCATGTGGAACAAATAATAGTTTAGAGAATATATCAGCCTCTTATACAAAGATGTAAAGGTCATTTGTTTCTTAGTTCTGGTGATAAACTAACACACCGTATCTCAATCTCATCTAATTTCTCATTTAAGATAAATTATTTTCCTGGCAGTATGCTACATTCTGGACAGCAGCCCAGCTATAGGTAAGTAATTATGAACGGCTGGGATTAAGTTTTAAATTAAAATAACATTGTAGTGTGTTTTCAAAGGCTTATAAAGTTAGGCTAATGCCAAAGAAAGCCCTTTGCTTTGTTAATAACTTTGATAAAGGAAGATTACAGAGAAAGTCTATGTTTTGCTGGTCTAGAGAGACTTCTAAAGCCTGCCATGGTCATTATTTTTAGAGGTTGCAGGTTCAAGCTTGCTCAGGACAAGTCCATGAAATTGTGAGCACTGCACAGCACCATGATAAGTATGAAATGCATTTGCATATCTGTAATAAAAATTTTCTAGGAAGCAACAATTACTATGATAATCTGCAGCACCCCTTTGGCATATATTTGAGGTGAAATTTATCCTTTAACATGCTCAAATTGTTTCAAAATTACTTTAGCTTTATTTTGATTTTTAAAAATATTATATGTTTGATTTTCCTGTATTCCTCTGAACACCATTGTTTATGAGACAAATGCTAATTTCTGGGACTGGGAAGGTGCTGACCTGGTAAGAACAGTACTGAAAAGTTATCTTCAAAATTTATTTTCCTGTAAGTGCTCTAGCACTAGCCTGTTCTGGTGACACACAGACACCTTCAGAAGGTCTAATGCAATGCGCTGGTCTTGCTGCATGAGGTGCTGGTGCATTTGTTACAGGACTGCACCTTTGGCTCATGACTTGGAAGGAGCTTTGAGATGGCAGGGCTAGGGCTTAGCCTTCCTTATCCCCTCTGGAACAGAAGAGCTTAAATTCACCAACTGGAACATATTTAAATCTCGAAAGCTCTCAAACAAGTACATTTACTGTTCAACAAATACACCTCCCCACATGATGAAGAAACAGATTCCAGGCTTAACTCTATATTCCTGGCATGCAAAAAAGAAACAGATTATATAAGATTTCTATTTACTGCCTAATGTACATAATTCATTGACCAATCCACTGATCAGCTGTGACTAGAAAGTTAGTGTCTCCTACTTCAGATTAAAGGATATTAACAGAAATTTTCTCAGCCTTATCTCAAGTTCAGAACTGTTAAGCATGTAATTATTTATTAAAATCCCCCTGGTAACATGATACACACTACAGCTGAACAACTCAATGTCTCTTAAAACCATAGTAAATTACTTGCTGATCTTTAATATATTAGGAGACTATACTGAAGTGCCCCTCTGAGAAAAGTAAGTAACACCTTCAAGGAAAGGAAAGGAAACAACATTGTAATAAGTGATAAATCAAGCATTTCTCCTTCAGTGACTAATTTCCTCATACGGAGTGGCTTATCACGCACGTGTGGAATGAATTAGTCCTCCTTAGTAGCTTTCGACACCTATTTACTGGACATCTTCAAATATCAGTATCTTTTTAAAAAATGAACATTTTTCTACTTCTATGGAATGAGGAAGTTGTCATATTTTCCAGTTTTACCATGAAGGCATCCAGCTCTGCTGAGAGTCTCAGCTTGAAATTGTTTTATTTAGCAATGTATTTCAGATTAAACTGTGTCTGCTCCAAATCGGAAGGAAGCATCTATTGGAACCATCCATCCCTGAGGTCTTCAGCTCTCAGGGGCTGAGATAGAAACCATATTACAAATGAACACTCACCTAAATTTCAGAAAAGCTGCAAACAGAGACTTTCAGTGCTTGAGTTTTTGAAAATGTAAGCTATCATGTACATGCTCAGTTACCTAAATAAGTGACCAGATATTCAGATGAGCTGACTACTTACAGTCTGGATTAGAATGAACAGGAAACTGCTCGTAGACCCATTTTCTTTTAAAATTAGGTCACTATTTGATGTACAGAGCCACCCAATTTTGTTATAATTTTTTAATGAGATTTTTTTTCTAATACATTACTACCTATTATCTTCAGATTTTCCTGCCTAAGCACACATCAGTAATTGCAATGTATAATTTATTAATAAAGGCCCAAGAAACAGGCAAATAAACAAGGTATATTTTATATTTCTAATATAATTCATATTAGAACCATACTAGTTTCCATAATACATAATTTCCATTATAAATTTATATAAATTTAATTTTCTGAGGAAATGAGAGGCCTAAACTAGGCACATCTTTGGGTCTGAATCCATTGCACAACCATCAATAAAGTGTATTCTGTTTCATTGAGATTTTATCGCTGAAACTAATTACATGTGCTGGAGCAAACAGAAGATGTAAATGGCAAGGTAGATTTTGGTTTTTTTTCTTATCTCTCCAGATTGACTCCAAAATCTGACTTTGATAAACTTCTGATAAACTCTGAAAAAGGTAACAACACATTCATTTCCGTATCAGCAGTTCTTGCACAGGAATGACATGACATATAATTATGTTTTAAACAGTGGGATGATTAAACAAGACAGACTGCAATGATGTGTTCATTCATATAATGCATAATTTCCAAAAGAAATAGGAAAAAGTTCTACACTGACCATAGTCTGTGTTTTCCGGCTCCCAACAATTTGATGGCCAAAAATAGGGTGTCTATAGACAAAACAAAAAGGTAGGGAACTCAAGTTAGACAATACAAGCATTATACAGTTCTTGGACTGATACTGGATTTCAGAATCAATTTATATTTTTGGTAGATGTATTATATTGTTACCTTGGCAATTTTGAAATAGGCATCAAAACAGAAAATGACTTTTGTAAACTCGTTACACTAATGTCAGAATGACATTGAAAGAGAAGAATAAATTGTTCTTTTTATTCTCATAGTTAGTGGAACAAAACCCACATGCTTAGGTACTGAGATTCTCTTTTACATCTCCCCTAGAAACACACCCATCACGTGTCCTGAAGAATCAGTTCTAGCAGGTGTAAACACAGAAGATCATTTGAAGTACATTCAGTTCTTGATTTTGGAGAGTTTTCATTAGTACATATTAATATTCAATATTCTTTCCCAGGAGTTATTTGTTTTAAATTGTCACTAAAACTAACCTATGTTCACAAAGTTATCAAAGACTATTTTTTAATAATTGTTTACCAATTGTGATTTAAAATGTGAATATTTTTTTAAGGGAAAGACAATATAAGTACCAACGACTAATTCAACACTATGAATATTAAAACTGTGCTAAATGTATTTCTAAAATACTTCCCTTCTACCAAATTAAGAATGTGAGACTGTATAGGCATTTTTCATACAAATAACTAAATTTTTTAAATGGTCACTTTTTTGTTAAAACATCAATGATTATTTTTTACATATTTTACATTTTTTTAAATTTGACATTAAATTTTACATTTTTTACACAAAACATCTTCTATATATTAACACATACACACAGATACAGAGAATTATATATTATTTTGGCAGTTGAATTAAACTCATTAAATGTGTGGACTAGGCTGAATGGTATTTCAAAATGCAGGTGCTTCCTTAAGAAAACCTTCTGCTTTATTCTCTCTTTCTTACTTTCTCAAAGATCTCCCTGCAGCACAAATGGAAACCTCTCCTGCTGCCCACTTCCCTCAAAATTGTTTTAATGTTTAATCTGGAAACCAACAGGGCTGTAGGGTGATACATTCACACCAACTGTTGTCAAGTTAAATATATATTGTGAGAAATCTCTCCCTATTGTAACATTGACCCATCAACTTTAATAGAAGCAATTTAGAACTTGCTATTCAGCAAACAACAGCAATGAGATAAACGGTAAAAAAAAAAGGAACCATCACAAGCTAACTTCAAAGGCTGAGATGTGTTTCTTATAAGCTGTTTTGTGCTTTGTAAGGGAGCAACAATAAGTAATTCTTCAATCAACCATTCCTTCACAGTGCCACTGAAATCAAAGGGACCAGTATAAGCACAGATAAGCACAAATGGAAAGAAGAGGAACCCCTAAAGAATGAATTGCAGCGCTCAGCGAATTTTGGAGAAGAAGCTGTAAAAGTAATTTAACAGTGTGAGTCATATAAAGCAAACAGCCACCATCATTGAAATATACAGTTTACAAACTCAGGGAGGGAGAACAGTCCTTCTTTAGGGGCATAAACTGTATTTCGGAAGAGGCTCAAGAATAAAAGCACAACTAAATCATTTTTCTGCTAACAGTAACATCTGTTACAGGTTCAAGCTGAGCTTCTGCAAAAAGTATGTAGTGAGGGTTATTAAATACATAGAAACAATATCTACTCAGGCAGCGCCTCAGCTGAAACTCTTCCAGTTGTGGGTATACTTGCTTAAAGTTCCTAATTCATACTTAGGCTTTCTCTTGACAATTTACATATACTCCCATCCTAGCTGAGATAAAAAGATAAATTCCATCTTCTGATTTAGAGAAAGTCCTAAAATTGCTTCTGCCATTCATTTCACATCAGGCTACGAAGAAATACTATATATTCACAACTCAATGTTTATGATGTTAGAGGAGGACACTTGTTTCATACATGAATGAAAAGCTGTGCTCAGCCAGCAAGAATACTGCAAGAAATAGTTCTGAGAGGCATTCACAGAGATTATATCAATTGAGAATAAATCTGATAATACTGTTTTCAGTATTTAGTTAAAATAACACATTTAACTTTTATTGGAACTAGCATGTTGATAGTGAAGGAATTGTGGGCACTAAAGAGAATATGGTAAAGGGGACAGGATCTTCAGTGTTGTGAAATGTTGTCACTTTAGCTCACTAGAAGGCAGAGGTGGTCGAGGCTTTTCTGAAGGATAAAAATGTGCATCCCAATGTCAGGACCTGCTTCCAACAGAAAGACTCACTTCAGACCAATGCTGAGAAGTTTGAAAATGCACCAAGGGCACATTTTCCTTTCTGAAGCTGAACAAAGCTTATGAGGGAACAGGGAAAAATAGTTTTTGTTCCATTAGAGAATACCTGATCAAGACTTTACTGGTGTGTAGCTCTTGAGGTGAAAGTGACTGCAGGATGAGACTGGTATTCTGCAAAGACAAGCACTGCAGCTTAAGAGCCAGCAGGCTCAGAACAGACAGAGGAGGTCTCTTGGGAAAGTTACTAAGAGAAAAGAGTTGCAAGGGAGAAGGCAGTACTGTACAAAATTCCTGAGTACCTTTTGAGAGAAAGTGCACTGACAGGCCAGTGTAACCACACTGGCAATTTCCAATGAACTAAATGTGCAGAAGAGATCATGGAAAAAATAGAAAATAAGGTGTGTGCTGCTAAGGATAAAACTAAGCCTCCCTGTGCCAGGGAGATAAAAGCAGGACAGTTAAAACAGATCATGAATTTTAATTAGCAAAGCACATGATAGACCATATTAAAGTTTCAATAATGTTTGATAAGGTAAGCCAAAAAAAAAACCCGGCAAAAGGCAAACATTACAATATGAGAAAGGGGTTCAAATAATAGCTAGTGCAGATAAGTACAAAAGATTATTAACTGCCTTCCTTGTTTGAGTCTCCAGAAGGAGAGAGACTGTGGCCAGATAAAGGTCTTTCTGCCCAAGGAATGACATGCAGATGTGGACTCTCCTTGCTGATGCTCTGAACTGGGCAGACACAAGCTGCTTAGGAACTGCAAGCTACGACCCTGCCTGCCTGGTGCTCGGATGCATTTAATGGGACTTGCTGAGAAGTACAGCTCATCAGCTCAGGCACTGCAGTGTGGCCAGAGCTGGCCTCCAGCCAGCTGGCTCCCAGAGGGAACAAAGTGCAAGTCTATCTGCAATCAGCTCTGCGAACATGCCCAAAATTAATTTGGACATGAAGATAAGACTACAGGGCAAAGCATAGGGAAAAAAAACCAAACAGGAAGGGAAATATTTTTATGAAGTCTGACAGTTCAAGTTATAAGCCTGATGAAATTGAGCACAAAACACTTAAGGATTTATTGTGTTTTCATGTGGGTAAACTGTGTTTATTTGTGAAAAAGCAAAAAAAAGCCTCGCCAGACTAAAGAACAACTCTCAGCACTGTGATTTATATGCACGTGTGAACACGATTATGATATTCTTGCTCTGGTACTTCTCTTTCTCCTCTATCTCCAACTCTCTACACCAGCTAGTATCGAACTGGTGAGAGTTATCAAAACTATTGGATTATCTGCATGATGTTTAAAGGGGTGCAAGTTACCTAAAGGGCAACTTATACATAAAAAAAATATTCATTCAAGTAAGTTTGAATAATGGGCAGTTATCTAAACAAAAAAAACCACAACAACAGGGGGGTTGTTGTGGGGCAAATATAAGGCAGAGGAGCTTCACAAGACTACAGCAAGAGGAAGAACTACCTTTACAAGAAAAGGTAAACAACTTCAATTTTCTGTATTCTAATATTTCTAGATCTACTATCTAGATTGAACAATTCTAATACACTATCTATTTCTAATCTTTAAAAGGCAAATGTTACTAATACTTGGATTTTTAAAAAACATATCAGGTCACTGACAGTGTAAAGCCCCTACTAGATGAGAAATAAACAGTAGATGCTATATATTTTGACCAAAGCAAGTAAAGACTTATGGTATGAACCTGGGATATGTGCTCAAAAGCAGGTACAGCTGCTGATAAAGTTGTATTCAAAGAGTAGATATCTATTATTCACTTTCAAAGCAGGAAATGGCATTGAACTGTGCAGAGACAAGGAAAACTCTCCTAAAACCAGGAACAAAAATAAAAGGGACAGGATTAAGACAGAAACAGAAAGAAAGTCTAAAACAGCACGAAAAAATTCTTAAAAAAACCTAGACACTGAAAATAAAGTATGGTAAAAAATCAGTTTCTGATTAAAGGACCTTTGCAATGCTGTGATTATATGGAAAAAAAGCATCGACAATAAATGTGTGTAATTAACATGACTGATGTTTTCCAAAAGGAATATTCCACACTGTCTTGCCTAATTGTTTGGTATTAACAGTCATAAAGTTCTGGTCTTAATGTGAAATTCAATTTGTCCCTTTTTACAGACCTCAAACAGTTTAATCACATAACACATGACTATAATGTATGAGCTAAGTTTACATGTTTCCACTTAATGGTTGCAAAAGTCTCCACACAATTTCTTGTCCCAGATATTTAACAGTCCCTTAGATGAATTTTCTAAAGCGGTTATTCATGAAGCCTAGGGGAGAAAGATTTGCCTTATTCTACTCAGAAAGACTAGAAAGTACGAAGAATCTTGTAGAAAGATCCCTGGTATCACAGAATGAGGTCAGAAATGAGAATAGGAGGTGTGTGCAAAGGTCTATGCAAATAAATCTTGGTTCAACTCTCTTACAAATCACATATGCCAAGTACACCATAGAAGAATTATAACATGCCTTGCAATATCACATATTCCTATAGCACAAATATTACACAATCTGCATGCCTTGTTTCATGATCTAGAAGCCCTAAATAAGTGAAGATTTTCCCCAGGAGAGCTATGGATATTGTACTACAACATTACCGTTTTCAGAAAAGGTTATGAAATAGAATCACAGAACCACAGAATATTCAGACTTGGAAGTGACCCACAAGGATCATCAAGTCCAACTCTTGGCCCTGCGCAGGACATCCCCAAGAAT